AAACGTCAGCTTTCCTGCTCCTCTGATGCTGCTTGGCCTGCTGTGTTCATCCAGCTCTACACCTTGTTATGTCAATGTGATGTATTCCATCTCTAAGCCCACAAATGAATACAGTTATGGTACACTGACCAGCACTCAGAGTAATGAAATACCCAAGTATAACATTATACAAGAATTACTATCTACTGTTCTGCTCCAGTTGTGTGCATACAACATCAAAAATGCAGTCACAAAGAGTCAAGGGCCAAATGATATGAGGGCTTTCAGGAATTGTTAGGATGAGACTGGGTACACAGCTTCATATCGCAACTGAAAAGGCAAGATCAGAAAAAGCTACACCAATAAAGAAACTGTATTCATTTGAAGGCTGGCTTAATTGATGAGCATAGCATTACTGAATGGCCTGGCAGCTGCCCAAGCAGATACAGACATGGCTCCAGAGACAGACAAACTCAACTGAGGAGGCTCAATTGAAGTGTGTTTGGGGCAGCGTGCAGCATACAATGCTTTCTGTCTCAAAGGCTCTAGTTAATACTCCCCAGACCCAGACTTCAAATAAGGTTAATCCTGGCACCAACTAAGACCAGAAGATGATCCGAACCCAGGATCTCTAGGTCTGGGTGCTAAGGAATTGAATCAGTGGTTGCAAAACGAAGCCATGAGGAAAACCTTAAGACCAGCTTATTTGTCTGATCTTTAACCAAGACACTCAAGGTTCCTCTAGATGTGCAAATAACTATTGTAACTTCTTTATTCAAAAAGGGAGGGAGACAGAAAGCACGAAACTGCAAGCCAGTTAGCTCATATGGAAAACATTGGAAGCTATTATTAAAGATGTCATAACAGGGTATTTGGATAAATTCAAGGTAATCAGGCACAATCAATACAGTTTTATCAAAGGGAAATCACATTTAGCTAATTTATTGAAATTCTTTGAACTAACTTGTGGGGTAGATAAAAGGGGAACCAGTGGATGTTTTGCATTCAATAAGCAGCCTCAAAGGTTGCTGGAGAAAATAAATGCTTATGACGAATAGGGTAACATATGGGCTAGGAAGCAGACAGTAAGAATAAATGCATCTTTTTCAGACTGACAGGCTGTCAGAGCGGTTTGGCACTGGGCTGCAGCCTCAACTCATTACAATTTATATAAATGGTTTTGATGAAGAGATCAAAGGTATGGTAGCTAAATTTGCTGATGACTTAGATACGTAGGAAAAGGAATTGTGAAGAAAACATAAGGAGTCTACAAAGAGATATAAATAGGTTAGGTGAGTGGACAAAGATTTGGCAAACAGACTACCAAGTAGGAAAATGTAAAATTTTCTATTTTGGCAGAAAGAATAAAAAAAAAGCATATTATCTAAATGATTGTAACTTCAGCACTCCGAGATGCAGCAAGATCTGGGTGGCCTGGTTAGTCAGCAGGTACAGCAAGAAACTAGGAAAGCTTACAGAAATGTTATGGTTTATTGCAAAGGGAACTGAATGCAAGAGTAAGAGTGTTGCGCTTTGGCTGTACAGGGCATTGGTAAAGTTGCATCTGTGTACAGTACTGATCAAAGATAACAAGGTGTAGAGCTGGACGAACACAGCAGGCCAAGCAGCATCAGAGGAGCAGGAAGGCTGACGTTTCGGGCCTAGACCCTTCAGAAAAAAAAACTGATCATCCTACTTACAGAAGGACAATAATGAGTTGGAAGCAGCTCAGAAAAGGTTTACTAGACCAGTACCTGGAAAGAGCAGACTGGTTATGAGGAAAGGCTAGTCAGACTAAGCGTGTAGTCTCTGGGGTTGAGAAGAGTCAGAGGTGCCTTAATTGAAGCATAAAAGATCCTGAAGGGACGTGATCAGGTGAGTGCCGAAACAAAGTTATATCTCGTGGGAGAACGTAGAACCAGGGATTATAGTTTAAAAATAAGGGGTGATCCATTTAATACACAGATGAAGAAACATTTTTTCTCTCTCACTGGGTTAATTATCTTTGGAATTAATTTCCACAAAAGGCAGCAAATGCAGAATCTTTAAAGTTTTTTTTAAGGCGGAGGTAGATAGATTCTTGATCAAAGGTAAAAGTAAAATCGTCATAGTCTACCGGACCATAGACTATTAGAGATAAGACTGGTGGTGAGGGTTTAGCCAGAAGATCACTACAACTCAGGTGAGGAGAGAGATTGAGAAGGAGAGTTCTTCATGGTAACCTCAGCTGTTCGAGGAATCGAGACCACGCCGTTAGTGTTACAGCCAACTGAGCTAATGGGAATTTGCAGGAATGTAGAGTTGAGGTTAAAGTCAAATCAGCCATGAATGTATTGAATGGTCAAGGGCTGAGTGGCTACTCCTGTTCTTTGTTCATATTTCAGGCTAAATGACCCCATTTGACTCCTATCCAATAATGACAACTTCCTTACTTCATGTGCTAAACTTGTGTTAGAAGAAAACCACATGACGCCGATGCACAGGGGTTATACTGGGTGAAGATCACTGGACATATCATTCCACCATGTTAAGAGTTCTAGGTTAATGTCCTTGGGACACAGGTTTAAATCCCATCATAACAGCTGGTGAAATTTAAATTCAAATTCAAATAATTCAAAATCTAGAACTGAAAGCTAGTCTCAATAATGGTGACTGTGGAACTACCATTGGTTGGTGTAAAATCCCATCAAGCTCACTATGGGCTGGAAGGAAATCTGCTGTTTTTACCTAGTCTGACCTCCATGTGACTCCATAGTCTCGCATGCCCTCAGAATTACTTATGCAGTCATACCAAACCATTACAAATGGACTGCAGTGGTTTGAGGAGACAGACCAGGACCACTTTTCTCACAGGCAATTAATGCTGACCAGTGATGCCCACATTCCAACAAAGAGCTTTAAAATTCCAAACCCTTGGTTATTAGAATCTATACAAGAAAAGTGTGGTATCAGTATGAGACATACTACTTACTGTCATTATGCCACAAAGAGCCCTTGGATTAGCACATTTACAGTAGCTATTCTGACAGCTTCCAAGAGCCAATGCTGCAGGACTTACAGGAACTTATGAATCATGGTCATGCAGTCATACAGCACGGAAACAGAACCTTCAGCCCAACGCATCCATGCTAACCAGGTTTCCTAAACTGAACTAGTTCCATTTGCCTGCATTTGGCCCATATCCCTCTAAATCTTTCCTACCCATGTACCTGTCCCAATCTCTTTTAAATGCTGTAATTGTACTTAGCTCTACCACTTGCTCTGGCAGCTCATTCCACGTACACACTACCCTCTGAAAAAGTTGCCACTCGGGTCCCTTTTAAATCTTTCCCCTCTCACCTTAAACCTATGCCCCTCAGTTTTGAACTCCCCTAATCTGGGCAAAAGACCTTGGCTATTCATCTGATCTATGCTCCTCATGATTTTATAAACCTCCATAAAGTCACCCCTTGGCCTTCTATGTTCCAGGGGGGAGAAAAAGCCCTAGCCTATCCAGCCTCTCCTTATAACTCAAACTCTCCAGTCTCAGTGACATCCTTGTAAATCCTTCATGCATCCTTTCTAGCTTAATAACATTCTTCCAATAGCAAGGCAACCAAAACTGTACACAGAACTCCAAATATGGCCTTACCAATGTCTTGTACAGCTGTAACATGACCCCCAACTCCTCTACCCAATGTAGATTGAAGTTAGTGTGATCAGAACAGCCAAGGAGACTAGGTGACGGGATACAGGAGGGGGACAGGGAAGCTGAAAACAGGCAAGGTAAGCTCAAAAATATCAAAAGGAATCAAATAATCATTACTATAGCATCAGGGTATTTCCAACTGAAGTCATCATATCCTTATAACCTTCCTTAAGCAGCACGGGTGTAAGTCATGTACTCTGTGTTCAATGAGAGGAAAAATAAGCAGGAAGGAGAACAAAAGGAAGGAAAAATTTCCTGCACCTGGAGAAAATCTGAGGCCAACAGAAAATTTTTTTTTCTGCATTTCAAAGCAGACTCTGAGAAGGGGAAGAGCTACAGGGTTCAGGGCTGCTTTTCACTAATCTGTAACTAGACAATATTACAGAGGAACAGTTTATAAACATGTACTAAGCCAGAAAAAAAGGCAGGCACAGTACATAGAGAGAAATAAAAATGGGTGATGATTAAATCACATAATAGATGTTGGTGCAAAATAAAATAAGTTAATACAATGAAAGATATAAAAGAAAAAAGTGTGTCTGGAAGATATATGAATGGCCACTACAGAGTAATGGAAAAGCATGCTGCAGAAAGTCTACAAACTCCAGGCAGATTGGAGATGATTGACAAAATCCTCATCAGTAACGAGTCTTTTGAGTGAGATTAATTTTACATATATAATTATCCACTCACTCCACTTCACTGGAAAACTAATCATGCTTTATCAGGATGCTTTGCAATCATGGCTTTGTTGACTGTCATTCCAAAAGTAGTAACAATGCCAAGCAATGTCTCATGCAATCTAATTAGTTTAAAATATGTACTTT